AATTAAGGTGCTTCTCTCGTTGGAGAAGCTTGGTACAGTGATAAGTGTGATATTGTTGTGTTATGTCCTTCACATTATGAATCGAGAGTGGCGTTGAACCGGATAGAGAGTGTATCTGGATAGACATTATTTTTTAGTGTTTTGTGTTTATTTCTAAATTTTGTTTATGTGTTCGTAGCAAAACTGTTAAATTATTGGTATTTTTTTGAATTAACAGGTATTAGAGGTGATGTTTGAAGGGGAAATGGATAGAGAAAAGTGGAAAATGCCAAAGGAGGAAGAAAAGGAAGAAGGGTTTTGGGGGTTTGAAGATCTTGAATGTGAATGTGACAGTTCATTCTCAACCTCAACCAGAAGTTCTTAATTAGGATGATCAAATCTTAATGTAAATATAAAGTGTTCATTTATTAACTTTATTAAAAATGAATAGTAATGAAAGCACTTTTTCTTTTTTCTTTTTTTTTCAAAGAAGACATTGAATTGATGAGAATTTTGAGGAAGATAACACAACTCTTATTACTATTAATCATTTTTGGCACCAACACTTATTTGTATCCTTATGAATAAAGGCGGCTATGGTAATCTCTTCACAAAGAGACTACAATTTACATTCTTCTATCAGACACGTAAAGAAGCAAAGCAGAGGATACACAAATTGTTCAAATATCAATATCTATTATTGTCTGTAAAAAAAAATTATGCAAGAAATTGAATTAAGCTAGATTTTTTCTCAATATGATGAATACAAAATCACAATCCATTCCAAGATATAATGAACTGTTCTGTATATTTTAGAATTCAAAATAATAATAATCATAATGTAACCAGATATTCTACCTAAATATCTAAGCTACACTGATTGATCAATCCAAACTGATGCTAATTTAGGGTAATAAAAAAACAGAGATTAAAATTCAACATGCTAGGAAAATTCAACATGCTAATTTAGGGGAAAAAAATAAACGAATCTGAAGCGATGGTGCTCACCTTGGTAGATGATGGTGCTCACTTTCCTCGCTGAACGAATCTGAGATTGAATCACCGAGCTTTGAAATCGAGAGAGAACTTCGAAATCGCCGAACGAATCTGAGATTGAATCATCGAGCTGAAGAAGGTTGAACTTCGAAATCACGTTCAATCGATCAATAGATCTTCAATCGATCGATCTGATCTAGATAAAACCTAGCAAACTCGAACATGAACTAGAGATAGATTAATCGATTACTAAATGAAGGGGTTTGAATCGAGAGAAACGAAAGGGTTTGAAGCAAGAGAGAGTGAAATCACGGGTTCGATGGAGAGGGTTGAGAGAGAGAGAGATCTGAATCAGGTTTTGTTCAGATCGGGGCTTCGATCTGAATCTTTTTTGATTTAAGCTTCGATGGAGCTTCGATGGAGAGGTTTGAGAGAGAGAGACCTGTGCGCATGTATTAAGGGTTGAGAGATCTGTGCGTATGTAGGCTCTGATTCAAAATAAGGTTTTCACAGAAAGGGGCGCGTGTGGGTCACCACATTCGGAGCGTTTTTAAACGCCTCCCATTATAAAACGGTGTCGTTTTGTTTAATAGAATATGCAGCGTTTATAAAACGCCGTTAAATACTAATAATAGTGACGTTTACAGAAACGTCGTTAAAAAAACGCCACCAAAACCCCCTTTTCCTGTAGTGCTTCTTGGTGATAAGGATTGTATTGAGCTGGGTTCATTATTATGAGGAAACTGACAATGATCTTATATAGTATTTAATATTTTGTTTAATATGGCAACATAGAAGAATCATTTTAACAGCAATTCACACAGTTATTCTTTCTCAATTCTTTCCGAATGTGAAATTTTCTTACCAAGTCATTTTTTTATCGGTCGGAAACACATTCCGAGAGGATATGGGGAAGAAAATTGTGTGGGTGAATTATTAATCTAATTTTAACTCTATAATACTTTGAAAGTCTAAATTAAATTAATATATTATTAGATCCTAATAGCTAATTCCCATGAAATTCTATCAAAAGTAAATTCTAATAAAATTATCGCCAAAAATATTTTTTTTGTGACGATTTTTACATGTCACTAAAAATGGACAATTAGTGATTTTTTTCACATTTTTTTATAAATTGTCGCTAAAACTTACAATTAGTGATGTTTTCTGTGACGAATTTTTCAAACTGTCGCTAAAAATTCATGACTTTGTTATGACGATTTTTTTAAACCGTCATTAAAACTTATAATTAGTGACATTTTTTGTGACGAAATTTTCAAATTGTCACTGGAAATTAATAATTAGTGACGTTTTTTAATAATGTTTGATAAAAAGCATCATTAATTATCATAAGATTTATTAAATAATAAGTCCACCTATTGAATAATCTAGAAAACCCCTAGATGTTAATTTGTGATTATGTATCAATTTTAAGCAGAATATAACAATCCCAATCAAACAATCAAGACAAAGAGACACAACGATTTTACGTGGAAAAAAATCACAATTGGACACCTCCAACTGTGATTAAAAAACCACGGACAACAGCCACAAAACAATCTACTAAGAAGATTTCACTACAAGAAATTGCACTTTTGGCGACTACTTTTGGCAACGATGTCAATTTTTCATAGCCAAAACTATATTTTTGGCGACGCAGTGATCAATTTCATTGGTAAAAGTAGACATTTACCCACGCAATTTACAATCGTCGCTAAAAAAGCATAACATTCATTAGGCGCCAAAATTATTGGTTGGCGCCACAATTTCAAAAGTTTTAGTCATGAGGCTTATTTTTTAGCAACACAATAAGCGTCGCTATTAGTATGCTTACTTTTGGCGACGACAAGTTGGGGTGGGTAAAGAATTAAACATTTAGCGACGATAACACTATTCGTCGGTAAAAGTTTTGCTAGTGAAATGAGGTGATTTAGTAATTTATGTTTTTATTATAACTTTTCAAGGACTTTTAAATATTCTAGTTATTGAATTGTAAAATTAAATTGATTATCGAATTAGATCACAAAATGAACTCATCAAGCTCGAACACACTCTTAAATTTAGATGGCTAATTTGAAATAATCTAAACTTTCCCAAAGAATGTGGTTAGATTATCAATTTCAATATGTTTGGTTTTATTTTCAAAAACTTGTTTCAATTTTTTTTTTCTAAAAAACTAAAAAAAAATTTGGCAAAAAAATAAAAAAAATACTTATTATTTTTGTATAATTTTATATTTTAGGAGGTCATAAATAATTTTTAAAATTTTAAAAATATATTTTTGATTTTTATACTTCTTAAATTAGTTTTAATTTTTTTCAAAAAAAAAAGCTAAAAATTGTTTTTATTTTTTATTTTGGTGATCTTCCTCTAAAAATTCACTACTACAAAAAATTCTTAAAGATTACACTTGAAAAAAAAAAAACATGGCACTTTTAATAAAAATATGATTAAAAAAATCAAATTTATATTTTAGTCACAGCTAATTTAATTAAGTGTGATAGTATTTATTTTTTAAATCACTTTTTAATTAAATATGATTATATTTTTTTTAATCACATTTTTTAATTAACTTGTGATTATATTTTATAAAGTGCAAATTGAAGCTCCATCTCATTCTCTCAAATTGAAGCTCCATCTCATTCTCTCGCCTCTCTCTCATTCTCACGGCAGAGGTATGTCTTCTATCCCTCTCCCTCTCTCTCTCTCTCTCTCTCTCTCTCTTTCGTCTTTATTATTTTTTAAATAAAAAAATTCATTTACTTTTGACTTTATGCTTTTAACTAATGCATCGCAATCGGCGTCAGGATCCTCTAGAGTATAATGTCTAGAGTGATCTCCTAAAGTAAACAATCCAATGGCTGAAATTAAAACTCACCAAAACGACGTCGTTTTGGTGAGTAAGTTTTAAAAAAAAAACAAAAAAAAAAAACCAACTTTTCACTCATCGATCTCATCGATCTCCCTCTCCGATCCCCAACACCTCCGACTATCACTCAGTCCGACACCACCGAGTCCGATCATGGACCCCCTGATCAAACCCCCTTTTCAGCCGATTCAGATATACCTTCCAAACCCTCAACGAGTTCGTTCGAGTACTAGGACGAAGACGAATTCGAAGGCCTCCCTGTACAACACCAACCTCCAAAAACCATGAATTTAACCCATTCCGAATCGAATTCTGATTCGAAAACTGAAAAAACTGTGAAGAACACTGCTAATGTTCAATGATCGTATCTAGTGGAGATTGCGTGCGGATGGTTCTTGGTTATCTTTGTAATCAATTATTTCTATGGTAAGAAAGAGAATGAGAACATTGCGTTGGCTTGGGCAACAAAATTCGCGACCAAAGACTCGATTTTCGATAAGAATTTTAGTCTTTTGGGGGTCGGTGATGAGGCTGACTCGCCATTGTTGTTGAAAGAAGGACAGAATGTGTTCAAATTTTATGCGAGCGGGCGGCGATTTTGTCAGGGGTTGTTGGCGACAATGGAGCTCAAGAGCCGGCACGATTTCATTTCGAGATTGTTCAATATGGTTGTGCCTTGTAAAGATGAGATGACTTTTGAGGTTTATGTGAATGATGAAACAATGGATCAGGTGGTTCTTACACTGGCAAAGAAGAAGGCCTCAAAAACAATGCACAAGGAAGTGAGGGATCTTCAGGGTTTCACGAGTTTAGTTTCGCCGCCGAGTAATAGGAAGTGGGTTGTTGAGGATTTGGCTATTATTTCAGATTTCTAGAGAGAGAAGATGGTCTGTTTGTGAACACACTGTGATTTTCCGAAATCGGCTTGCAGGGGTGAAAAGTTGGTCTTTTTTTTTTTTGTGAAAAGCTAGTTTTTTTTTTAAAAAAAAAAAAACTTACTCACCAAAACGACGTCGTTTTGGTGAGTTTTAATTTCAGCCGTTAGATTGTTTACTTTAGGAGATCACTCTAGACATTGTACTCTAGAGGATCCTGACGCATTCTCTCGCCTCTCTCTCATTCTCACAGCAGGGGTATGTCTTCTATCCCTCTCCCTCTCTCTCTCTCTCTCTCTCTCCCTCATTCTCATATCGTTTTCGGCACAAACCCTTTTTTTTATTTTTTTATTTTTGGGTGCGCAAACTGCTCCTCAGATCTCTGTTCATGGCGATTGCTATTCAGATTACGCGAATGATGAAAGATCTCACCTATTTCTCGGCAATCGGAGTTGTAGAAACACCAAAAATCTCACGATTTCAGATCTCTGTCTACCGGTGTCAAATCTCACCACCACATCTCCTCAACCAGATTATTTGGCCAGATTTGCTCAATCTTCCATGTCTGGTTCTTTATGATGTTGTTTTCGCTAAACTCTAAATTTTTTGTTTCTGTCACACTTCGGCTTTTAGAGATGGGGTTTGAAGTAGCAAGGAAACCCCATGTAACTTCTGCCCACAAGCTCTATGGCAGATAGCAATAAAATATGTTTTCAGTTAGTACACTTTCTTTATTCAGTTTTTAGTATTTCAAGTAGATGGGTTTCTTCAACTTCAAAGACTTATGAAATGGTTTATTAGGATGACTGGAAAGTAGAATTTTAATGTTCCATCTGGTTCTTTAGTCTTTCTCTGGGTTCATCAATATGACACAACGGCGCCACAAAATATAGAGAAATTTCTAAAATTAGGGTGTCTCCCAAATTGGCAGAAATTCATTTTGTTCCTACATAGTTGAAAGGATTTTTTTTTAGAGAACAATTATTTGTCAATTAATTCCATTTCTTTTGTTTATGATGACCAAATGTATATCCTTGGGCTAGACTATTTATTCCTATGATGTTTGCTGAGAAGCTCTTCACTTCAAGCTCTTCTTGGGATTTTTTTTTTTACAATAAAATTGAATTGTTCCGTTGACTTAAAATGCTTATGAATACACTTCATATAGCGATCTCAGGTTTACCCTTGTTGTACAGTGATCCGGACATGTGTCCGTGGATGTTGGTTGTTGTTTATTATCATGTTTGCATCCTTTGTGCCTTGTATAGTGAGTTATGGGATGTGTTGGGCAGGTTTGTTACAGGTTGGTTGTGTTTGGGAGCCTAGCGTTGCTGCCCAGATTTTTGGTCCTTCGCTCGAGCGAGGAGTTTGTCGCTCGAGCGAGAGTAGTGTTGCCCCGGTTCTGGACCTGAGAGTTGTAGTTTCTGGCTCGAGCGAGAGTTTCGTGGCTCGAGCGGTCTGGGTTTTTCTTCGCTCGATCGAGAACTTCTTGGCTCGAGCGAGAGTTTTCTGTGTCTGGTCGCTCGAGCGACCAATCCTTCGCTCGAGCGAGCGTGTTTTATATCAGCGGACAGTAGCATTTTTGAACATCAGTTTTTTACTTTCTTTTTCTTTCAAACCCTAGATCCGAGACACTCTCTCTCTAAACTTACATTCTCTCTAAGAATTGATCTCCCTAGAGTGTGAATTTAGCCTAGGGCCTTTGTTTAAAAGATAGAGGGCGTTGAGAGCTTCGACTTAATCTGAAAAAGTTTGGATTTGGAGCACGTTGATCTTCGAGTCTTCATCTCCTTTTTGGCTTAAACTTCGAGGTAGGGATACCCTACTCCTCTCTATGGATTTTGTCTTTAAATTTTGGTATTTTGAGATGTTGGGGTTGGTTTGGTAATTTTGTGAAAGTTTGGGGCTTTTGTGTTATTTTACAAAAGTTGGGGTTTTATTCATAATAAACCTAGATGCATGTTTGGCATAGAGAAATGGAATAAATGTTGAATCATTGATGAAAGTGGGACCTAAGGGTTGAAATGTTAATTATGGAAAATGACCTAATTACATTGTTTAATTAATTGGGAATGCAAAGGGTTAAAGGGTGTAGTTGAATTATTTGTCGCTTACCGGAATGAAATGTTGATTGAATATCCATTGTGCATTTATTTTCTGTTTAGAGATAACTGCTTTGGGCTATCGGTGGAGGATAGTCGTGATTGTTGTAGACAATGCATGATGATTAGGCAAACGGAAACTAATCAATGGAATGTGTCATGGAATTTGACGGTTGATAGAATACATTAACTGTATGTATTGAGTGATTGTATATAGAACCAATGTGTTTGTATACATTATGTGTAGAGGAGGAGATGGGGATATACTCCGCGGTTTAGGGGAAGATGGGGGATGTACCTCTAAACCGGATAGTATTGGGAGAAGATAGGGGATGAACTCCGTAGATACAGCTCATATGCTTGTCTAGAGAAGTGAAGATAGAGCTTATATGCTTATCTTTGTGAAGTATGGATACAGGTTATATGCTTATCTGTGAATGTGGGATGTTGTCATTATACATATCTGTTGAGAATGTGGATATAGCTTATATGCTTATCTGTGGATATTGTTGTCATACATATCTGTTGAGAATGTGGGTAGTGCTCATATGCCTATCTGTTGAAAAAGGAAAAAAAATGAAAGGTAACTTGGACTCATAAGTCGTATGACATAAATATGTGATTTATGTGAATGTATCAGTGTTGACCATCTATCAATTGCTAATATTTTAGGCATTGTTCATGGTTGGTTTAGTATAATTCTACTGGGCTGTGGCTCAACCTATATGGGAACATCATTTTCAGGAGAATTGGGTGTTATATAAATGAATGGTTCAAATAATTTTGTATGATTTCCATTTCGGACTTATATTTGTACGATCATGCAAGAAAAATCATGAAAACATATATATAGTTACGTGGTTGAAATGAATTCAACGGTTCTGTTATTTATGCATCAAGGTATTCAAAACTTGCTTGAAAGTTGAATCTTATGACTAATCTAACTAGTCCTTGGTGTGTGACATATATAAGAGACTGGACATAAGAGAAGCTGAGGGAGGAACCAGAATTGGTATTAATCCATCAATGCTAGACAGTTTTGCAAATTTCAATGGAAAGCAGCATATAGTGCAAATTGGGAACATGTGCTATGAAGACAATTCATTTTAGAGAGGTATAGCGTTTGAAACTTTAGGGTTTATTTATGGCAATGGTAAGGGGTGAATTATAACTAACAAGTACAAGAGATGAAGGGTTGTGTGGGTTTGGATTGTTTTCTTTTTCTTTTTTGGTAGGTTTGTTGGTTTGGAGTTTGCTTAATTAGATTCTTTTTATATTTTGGGAAAAATTAATTACACAAGTTTTTTTTTTTATGGGGTTGAGTTTTGCTGCTGTTAGTAAATGTGTCATTTACAGACATTCTAATTTATGTCATTATTCATTTATTTATTTATTTTCAAAAATCAGGACCAAGTATTGTATAGATTTTTCCCAAATGCGGTTAATCTTAAAAACTCAGTTTGATCTGAAGAATTTCAATTTGTTTTTTTATTTTTTTCATCAAACAGGTTTTTGAAACCTCTTGAATGTATTTTGACTGTGAAATCGTTATGTACAAGATCATATGGCTAAAATTGTTTGACGATATGGTTTTTTTTTTTTGGGTGTGTGTCGTTATTGAAGTTGCATTCATTATGTAAGTCGTTATAGCATTGTTTTTGATATGGAAGTTTAAATTGTTTTTATGTGATATTTTTTCTTTGTAATGTGTATACTTTTTGTTATCTAATTTTCAAATATTACATGGATGTTGATACATTCAATTTGTTGCAGAAACTAAAGACTCATGTTATAAGGAAGTATATCAATCCAGAATGGAATAACGATTTAACACTTTCCATTTCAGATCTTGATCTTCCAATCAAGCTGGTATGTCGATTGCTTACTTTTTTACATCGATTAACATCCACAATAGTTTGATGGATGAAATGAAGTTGAAAGAAATAGTACTGAATTTCGACATTGAATGCTTGTTTTAATTTTTTTTTAGAAGTATTTTTGTATTAGTTTTTTCCCATTGAATGCTTGGACTTGATATCCGTGTTGTTTGTCTACTCCTCAGGAAATTGGTGAGTATGAACTTGTTGATATATTGACTCCTTTAGAGAAGACACGATTTTGGGATGGAGTGGTAAGTCCTCTCAATCTTTTTTTCATGTTATTCACTGGCTTTTAAATTTTATATTTGCTGTACTTCTAGTTTGTAATTGTGCTTTCTGATTAATGTGAGGAAAATCCAATTTATTAGTGTTTTTTAGAATTATTTTGCCACTTTTTATGTATTAGAAAGCTGCCAGGTGGTCAGAGTGAAAGGAGGCTGTCGATGAGCTAACTAAGCTAGCATCCACAAAAAGGATAGCTCCCGGTGATTTTACAGAAATCTATTGAACACTTAAGAAGGTCATTCGCCGCCCCCCACTTAAAATTCAGTCACATTTTCTATAATTTACTATGTCCCTTTGGATCATTGTGTTTGGATGCAACTGACTTATTTATTTCTTTGTGATATTCATTTTGCTCTATTTCATTTGCTGATTTTTTAGTTGATAGGGTATTAAGATGCTGTCTATTACAAACTTTTACATATTTCCTTGATGATGACCACTCTCTTTTTTTCTTTTTTTTTCTTTTTTTTCTTTTTTTTTCTGTCTAGAACTTATAAATCACATGAATGTGCTACTTTCTTACTACATGTAAGAAATACATAGGTTGGGAAATTGAGACCTGACTTGGTGAATGCTTTATCTCCATCATTGTTGTCATTATCATTGTATCTATATTGGATTGATATTCCTTACTTACCCAAAAAAAGAAAAGAAAAGATGCTCTTCTTGTTGCTTTATGATTGGTTTTACCTGTATCATCTTGGTAATACTTAGCTGCTACTTCATAGTGGACAGGGTTACTTGATGCTCTTTGGTCATTTTGATGTTCAATGGTTTGGCTTTGAAGTTTGGTGGTGGCTGGAACCTTTTTCGCCATGATGTGTCAGTGAAGTGGATCATTCTATAATTTTCAATACTTTTTGTTTACATTCCCCTTTGATGTTGCTGCTACTATATCCAGTAGTTTAGTACCTACTCCTACGGGTTGTGTAGGAGATTATACTATAATTTTTGGTTAGGTAGTTGTGATAAGTAATAGTGATACACGTCGAGGACACGTCCTATTTCTGGACACACCACAGGACATGTTTTGGGATTTATTATAATTCTGGAAAGGTGGTTTGGTAAAGTGATGTGGTAATTCGAAAACAAATAGGTGGGATATGAAAAAAGAAAAAGAAAAGAAGAGAATGATCATAAGGCTGGGAATTTCATCCTGTTCACTTCTTGTGTCTTTAATCTGACCCCTGTTTAGTTCATACTTATTTTTCCCCCTCATATATGCTTGTTCATACTTAGTTCTTGGGACGTAAAATCTAGGTGTTTTTTTCATGTTAAAGTAGTGTTATCAGTGTTTGTGTTCGTGCCCGTGCTTTTTAGTCAATGTGGTTATCTCATAAACAAATGCTTATCATTTCATTTTCATGCATTTGAATTGTTCCAGTCGAGAGAGTACACAACAACAGCAACATGTAGACTAGAACAATGCTTCCATGGAATTGATCAATAGTGTGACTGGCACTGATCCGGATCACTGTACAACAAGGGTAAACCCGGGATCGCTATAGATTGGCACTGATGAGGAGGGTCGGTCTCAGCAACGGATTCTTACATTTGCTGCCAGGAGGTAGTCATTGATTTTGAATTATGAATTATCAGCTTGTTTGGCATTCCTTGTACCTTTGTTTGTTTTCAAATTTTATAATAAGATATTGAGTTGTATGCTTCTAGAATATCACACAAAAATTATGGCAAAGAAGTAAATTATGACAAAAATACATGTTTATAAGCAAAGCCTATTGAACTCTCCGTACCGTGATAAAATATTTTTTCTACTTTTCAAGTGGTTGAAGGTTCATAAAATTCTGAACTCGTCAAAAATAGTGGATCTACTGTTATTGAAGGTGGTAAGCTTTTTACTTTTAACTTTTAAAATGTAGCTGTTCAGTGTTGATCTTTGCTTCCAAACATAATCTCAAACCTTAACCTGATTGTTTTTGTTGCACTGGATGTGTTTCACAGAGCCTCATCTTCTGTTGAATTTTTTAATACGCCTTCAGTCATTGTCGTTTTCAAGATTAACGAGTAGGGGATTGTTGCCCAACTATCTTTTTGGAAAGATACATCGGCATACCATTTTCTTTCTTTTCAGCTTTTCTCTATCGCTTCTTCTTCTTCTTCTTCTCTTTATAATATGAAACCTTAATTTGGTATATTACTTGGGCTTAAGCTTTTGGGCCATGTTGGTAACTTGGTATACCCACTCTGTCCAATTTGTTTGGCCAGTAGGTTGCTTGGGGTGTGACATGAAAATTCTTCAAACTGGACTTGACATGTACAGTGGCAGCACTCTCTTCATTTTGGAGACAAAAAGTTAAATCTCTTCAATGGAAATATTGACTAATAATTTACTTTCATTCTTCTTCTTCCTCCTCTTTATAATATGAAACCTTAATTTGGTATATTACTTGGGCTTAAGCTTTTGGGCCATGTTGGTAACTTGGCATACCCACTCTGTCCAATTTGTTTGGCCAGTAGGTTGCTTGGGGTGTGACATGAAAATTCTTCAAACTGGACTTGACATGTACAGTGGCAAAAGATGCTATTTCAAGGTAGGCCTTTCATTGACTTATTTCTCATAGACACTATTTTAGTTGGTCTTGTTTATTACTTTTTTAAATGTTTGGCCACACGTAAAAGTTTCATATCTTTTTCTTTTCTCTTTCTTTATATATATATATATATATTTGATAAACAGAGCTAAATATGAGAATGAGCATCAAAAAGGGATCTCAAAATAGCTTATACCTTATTCTTTACTTAATAGACTATATGAAATCTAAAATATAATGGTGTTATCTGCTTATAATAAATGAGATAATATTTTAGGTGAACCACTCATTCGCCCCACAAGGAAATTGTCAAGAAAACCACCTTGAATTGTTCTTATCAAGAATTATAGATGGATAATGAGAGAGACCAGACCCTTTTCTTTTTTCTTTGTTTCCCTCCTTACTGTTCAAAGAAGAAGTCATTCTGTTAAGTGTTTACAGACTTTCTACGAGAAGCAATATAGAAATAGTGGTTGTCTAATGAGATACTATGTATAATAAGCTCTTGCCTTGGGAAAGTCGCATATTGTGCCTCTATAACCAAAGTGAACAAAAAAGATGACAATTGATCTCCTTGACACAAGACGTCTAGAAAAAACCTGCGGTAGATCCATTAACCAACAATAAAACTCGCACGGGCATATAATTATGTTACCTTTCTCCAAAACCCATATTCTTCATCACATATAACAAAAATTCTTAGTTTACATGATAATACGCTTTTTCAATATCCACTTTGCAAACCACCCTTGGGTTACCACAACCTCAAATCCACACTCTCATTAGCTACAAAAGCAACATTCAAAATCTGTCTACTCCTCTGACACTACCTTTAGAAGTACCTTCTTCAATGGTCTAGCTAAAACTTCAGCTAGGATCTTATATTCCTTCCAATAAGAAGATGGGCCTAACATCCTTTGTATACTCTACCCTCCTTTCTTAGGAATCAATGACACAAAAACATTGAAACTTTTCTAAGAAACACCATGCTCAAAAAATAAGGATATCATGCCCAACACAACTATGTAGGCTTATTTAACGCCTTCCTAACACTATTGGAAAAAGGCAATAGTCACACTCATACACCAACCTACCCATGAGCTTATCTCCTTTTTGAGACTTCAATTCCACAACCACTTCCTCTTCTGAAAATGTCTTTCTAACCAATCCTTATCAGTGGTCACGACGCCACCAAAGTCCAGCCCATCCTCCTGGATCTGAGTAAAGCTCCTCATAGGAATCCTCTGTACTAGTTCTAATCTTCTCAACCGTCCACACCCTAGCCCCAATAGGAATTTTGCCTAGTATGAGCATTAGCCATTCTCTAAGAAAAATGGGTATTTCCAGCACCCTCTTTAAGCCATAAAGCCTTAGCCTTTTGGTTTTATCTCGTTTTCTCCATCTTTGCAATGCTACCAAATTCTTCTTTCAAGTACTCTCTATGCCCCTTTGCGATAATGAGATTACGAACACTCTCAATCTCATTAAAGGCCTTTGTGTCCTTAAGAGCTGTTGGCTTTTGAATCCTGATTCCGTTTCTTCAATTTTTCATTCAAAATTTCATGTCTGAAATCAAACTAGGTCTTTCTTCAACATGATAGCAGCTCCTCACTCACCAACCATTTGGGTAAATTACACTTACACCCCCTTGAGGATATTTATTTTTTAAGTCCTCCATCCCAAAATCCTAGGCACTATTATGTTACACTTTCAGCATAATCTGCATATATTTTATTTGGCGCTGGATTTTATCCCTTGAAAGATGAGTCTTTTGAATGTCTTGAGATGCAACACCAAAAAATTTTTATAGTAAGTTTTGGGGTTATAATTTTTTGAAGATATTTCTCTTGTTCCTAGATTATGACCCAAGGGTTATGAACTTATGATCTTCTATGTGTGAAGGAAGTTTATTTTTTTGAGAGTGATTGCTCAAAACTGTTTCTTACTATTGTTTCAAATATAATTATGTCTCAATCACTTGAGAATCCCAGGACTTTAAAGCTTATACTAAGGAACCATGAACTAAAGCATCAATTGATGTGATGCTCCGTAATAGGAACAGTGAATGAAAATGTGAATTTAACTATTTCAATTTTGAGTGTTTGTTTGTGGCTATGCCTCCAATAGAGTATTTTCTTAAATGTATTTTTAAACTTTAATAAGAAAATGCCTCTCAGGAGATTTTAGTCGTGAAAAAGCAAGCTTTCTTAACTTCCCTTTTTCCAGAATTCTTTCATGATATCCCAACAACCAAAACGAATTAACTGATTCTGCAGCGAAGCTTTAAACTTGCCTTTATTTCAAGGTTCCTTCAACATGCATACTTAATTGAACATTGCTACATAGGCATACACTTGTAACTAAAGTTTTCTGTCTGTCTTTTCACAGTTGCGATAATATTTGATAAAGTAGGGTTTCTTTAAACATGTTGCTGGACATGTGCATGTATTAAAAAGGCATATGTAATGTTTTTACGCTGCTAATACAGGTATGTTAGACGAATTGTTTTTGAAAGAGGACTCATTGTAGATCCAGATCAGGTAGCAGTCTGCTTTAGTCTCTCATTTTCTACAGTTGATAGCAATTGTTTATTTTGTTATCTTGAATAATGAACTTTTTATCTCAGGGGGAGTTTCTCTGCCCTGTGGGAACCATGGACTTGCAAATTCAGCATTGCCTGCAGTACCTGGAGATTCTCAAAAGGTTTCTAGACCAGCAATGGTTTCAACTGTCAGTTGGCCATATGCTACAGGCCAATTATCCTCTCTGCAAACAGGGAAACTGATTTCCTTCGCTTTCGGGAAGCCTGGTCTCTTTTACATAGTGCTGCTGATGTTGCTGGGAGGAGTGAAATCCTAAAAGCTTTTCCAATGCATCGAACTGGAAGGATAAGACCAAATCCTGAATCCATGTTTCGTGTACTATCTGGAATGTATTTTCCAGGCAAACAGGATAGGATTTCAGGATCTGCAAGGGTAAGCCACTCGGTAATTATGTGGGACACTCTTAAGTACTCCCTTATTTCAGGATCTACTGCTGGTCTGCTGCTGCTGCTGCCAGTGTGCTGCTGCAGAATTTTGCTGGGTTGCTACTGCTGCTGCAATGTTGCTGTGAAGCGGGCTGCTGCTAGATGCTGGTCTGCTGCAAATTTGGGTTGTTGTTAGCCCTATGAATTCAATACATAATCGGGTAATTATTTTATTTGTGTGCAGTACATTGATAGGACAGTAGAGGATTGTTTCTTTAACTCTATGTTTACCTCAACTCCTAGTTGGCCAGAATGATATCTGATTGATTGTTCAACTTAAGATTTGGCTTTTTAGATTTTGTTCAGGTAAATGAGGGAATGTTGGAGAAGTGTCTTGAGGGTTTGGATTTAGTTCTTAAGGAATAAAATTACGGGTAGATTTTGATATGGTAGATTTATTGTGATGGTGGCTTGGTTTTTGGGAACTAAAATGGCATTGAATGGAACAGTTACATAGATGATTTAGATGGCCCATTTCAAACGGATCATGTTGACTGAAATTGGAAACTTCAGGGATGGAATTGACAAAATTGGAACTTGACCAAAGTGACCTGAAACAACAAAAATATCATAATTATGAAAAGAGAGTGTGGCATACATAAAGCCTGGACATATTTATAAAAACTGAAATCAATGTTCTAGATGATGTTGATCTGAGGTGCTATTTTAGGGGTGGTGTGAAGATGACAAAAACTGGAGATTCAAGGTTGAAAGGTTACATCCTAGTGCCAAAAGGCACAGATTAGATTCAAAATGTATTGGATGAATCCCAAAACCAGTAATTCAACATTTGTTAAAGAGTCTTATAGTAAAAACTGAAAAATCCATGAACTTATGCACAAACATAACGTAACATTTGGTGCCCATATAACAAAAACCACAAATGATCACAGAACATACATACTTTTCCGTCTACAAATTCGGCTGGCAAAAAATAAAACATATTCGGAAAATACCTTTTTTTTAGTGTAACAAATTAAATTAAAAAAATCCATGTAATGCTGACTAAACTCTTCAAAGTCTTGTCCCAACTACTTGGGGGTCAGCTACAAGAATCCTGTTTTGCCATTCTGCTTGTTTAAGGGGCATAATTCAGTTAAAACATGAGCATACCCTCAATAGCATTTCAAATATTTATGTTTTTTTCCCCTTTAACAGAATGAGATTGTTTTACTATTTCTCAGCCTTGTTAAACATGACCTGAAGCTTCGTTTTGTTTTGCTGCATTTGGTTTTTGTTTCACAGAAAATTTGAGAACATGTGCAAATTTTTTCTCCTGTTTTCATAACATGAATTTCTTTTACTGTTAAATCTTTTTTGCATGCTGCTGCAGAATTTTGCTGGGCTGCTGCTGCTGCTGCAATGTTGCTGTGAAGCGGGCTGCTGCTAGATGCTGGTCTGCTGCAAATTTGGGTTGTTGTTAGCCCTATGAATTCAATACATAATCGGGTAATTATTTTATTTGTGTGTGCAGTACATTGATAGGACAGTAGAGGATTGTTTCTTTAACTCTATGTTTACCTCAACTCCTAGTTGGCCAGAATGATATCTGATTGATTGTTCAACTTAAGATTTGGCTTTTTAGACTTTGTTCAGGCAAATGAGGGAATGTTGGAGAAGTGTCTTGAGGGTTTGGATTTAGTTCTTAAGGAATAAAATTACGGGTAGATTTTGATATGGTAGATTTATTGTGATGGTGGCTTGGTTTTTGGGAACTAAAATGACATTGAATGGAACAGTTACATAGATGATTTAGATGGCCCATTTCAAACGGATCATGTTGACTGAAATTGGAAACTTCAGGGATGGAATTGACAAAATTGGAACTTGACCAAAGTGACCTGAAACAACAAAAATATCATAATTATGAAAAGAGAGTGTGGCATACATAAAGCCTGGACATATTTATAAAAACTGAAATCAATGTTCTAGATGATGTTCATCTGAGGTGCTATTTTAGGGGTGGTGTGAAGATGACAAAAACTGGAGATTCAAGGTTGAAAGGTTACATCCTAGTTGCCAAAAGGCACAGATTAGATTCAAAATGTATTGGATGAATCCCTCAATATTTACCGACGTAAATGTGTCGCAAAAAGTTTACTTTTGTCGACGCATATGTTGTTGGTAAAAGTATATTTTTTGCCCATGCAAATTTGTGTCGCGAAAAGTGCCACACAATCATCATATTTGAATGACTTTTACCAACGCAAGGTAAATTGCCAACGATGGATGAAGGCTTTTATCGACGACTATGTTCGTCGCTAAATGCATTACTTTTACCAATGCAATGATAATTTCGTCGGCAAAAACTTTTGCCAACTCACTTTTGCCTACGGGTTGCCAACGTAGCTTTGTGTGTCGGCAAAACTCTTTGCCAACGAATTTTTCCTTTTAGCAACATATTTTGTTGTGTTGCGAAAAATGCAATTTCTTGTAGTGATAGAGTTATTATTTGTCTAGGTTGACAAATAAAATATACATTAAAATGTGTAAAAGAAATTAGGGAAAAATACCAATAAATCCCAAATTTTAATTTGTTAAACCATTTGATCCTGCCTTTTATTTTGTAGACTAATAAGTCCTATTTGAATGTTAAAAGCTTACTATAGACCTTTTTTAGATTTCCCTCATTTTCAAACATCAGCAACATTAACTACACCAACAACATTATCAACATCATCAAACTTCAACTACATCATTAAACATCATCAACATCACCAACATCATAAAACATTATCAACATCATCAAACATCAACTACATCATCAAAACATCATCAACATCACCAACATTGTGAATATTATCAAACATCAACTACACCTTCAACCTCATCAAACATCATCAACATCATCAAACATCAGCTACATCATCAAACATCATCACCACCGTCCGCCTCTTCAACACCGATCCCGATACACTCACATCATTCTCCAGTACCAGCACCTCCCTCAAGATCGGAGTCCCCAACGAACTCCTCCCTTCTCTCGCCACCACCACCATAGACCCCTCTCTCCAATGGCTCCAATCCAACATCTTCTCCCACATCTTCCCCCACCCAAATCAAGTACATTGCCATAGGCAACGAAATCCTCCTCAAAGACCCATTTTACACAACCTATTTAGTCCCTGCCATGAACAATCTATACATAGCTCTTCAAACTTTGGGTTTATCAGACACAATCAAGCTCTCAACATCTCACGCAGCCTCGATTTTGATGAATTCATACCCTCCCTCAGCCTCATCTTTCGACCCAAATCACCAATCAATAATGGGTCCATTGCTGTAATTTTTGAAGGATACTGGGTCGCCATTAATGGTCAATGTGTACCCATTTTTTAGCTTCACAAACAACCCACAATTCGTATCTCTAGACTATGCTCTGTTTCGGGGAAGGAACAGAGAGATTGATCAGAACTTGGTTAATGATAATTTATTCCATGCAACGATTGATGCGTTTGTGTATGCGATGGAGAGAGAAGGGTTTGATCGGATTCTGTGTGAACCCAACCAATGGTAAGGTTCACGTCGAAACGTCACAAATGGCAATTGGAAAACAAAGGGTCAAACTGTGGGAAAGCCGAAACGTGACACAGTTACTCGTGTCAAATTGCTCGTGTCAAACTGTGTCAAATTACTTAGTTCAGAAATATATATATATATATATATACGTGTCAAATTACTTGTGTTCACGTCACAACCCACGTCTCATGTTGTGAGTGTTACACACTTACTAAATTAAAAAAAAGTATTAGTGTGCTTTTTTGATCAGCGTGACACACAAACACCCATTCACCTTCTCCCATACAAACCCACACCAAATGTCAATCAATAATACTAGCAGTGGCAAAACTATCAACAAACAAATTAAGAGACCACCTAATCACTAAGAAAACATTCAGGACCTTATGGATTGCATAATTCAGTTAATTCAGTTAAAACATGAGCATACCCTCAATAGCATTTCAAATATTTATGTTTTTTTCCCCTTTAACAGAATGAGATTGTTTTACTATTTCTCACCCTTGTTAAACATGACCTGAAGCTTCGTTTTGTTTTGCTGCATTTGGTTTTTGTTTCACAGAAAATTTGAGAACATGTGCAAATTTTTTCTCCTGTTTTCATAACATGAATTTCTTTTACTGTTAAATCTTTTTTGCATTTTTCCAGCTGTATGGTTCTTTTTTTTTTATTTTTAGATTCGTCATTCATAGCTATGGATTTATGGATCATATCATATGTGAACATGCATGTCTTTCCTATTAAAAAAAAAGAATGTTTTAAATACATAACCCATTATTAATTTCCTTTCAAAATTTAATTTGGGGCTAGATGTTTGTGAAAATCTGAATCAGACATGTCAGCATTCAAAGCAGCAAATCTAGCTGCTGTATTTGAAGATTTTATCCACTGGCATTCACCTAGAGATTGGGAGAATGATGACTTCAAAGAGAGTGGAGAAGTCTCTACAAATGATGCAATGGAATCGTTAAAAAACAATCGGCCTCCTCGAGGATGACTTTCAAAGAGAATGTCTGAGCATGGGAATTTGTGGCAAAAAATTTGGAGTGGTGCACCTGCTTTGCCAGCTTCTGAGCAGAAGCCACTTTTGGACCCTAATCGAGAAGGAGAAAAGGTAAAATTCTTTGTAAATGTGCACATCATGCAATTTTTTTAAAAAAAAATTTGGACTACTCTAGCTTTTATGTTTCCCAACAAAATATTAGCAAATGTAGGATGTTACAACGAAGGTCTCAAGTTCATAAAACTGGTCTGCTGGTCTGCTGCTGCTGCTGCTACTGTCGGTGTGCTGCTGCAATGTTGTTGTGAAGTGGGCTGCTACTAGATGCTGGTCTGCTGTAAATTTGGGTTGTTGTTAGTTTCATGTTTTCATTTTGTTATCTGTTGTTTTTACTACGGGTTCACAATTTGGATGTATTTGAGTATTTTAGTGAGTTTACCCTTTTAGGTTTTATACAACGCTTCCAAAAGCATATTTTTCAGCAGTGTTTTTTTTGCATACACATCAACTTTAGGTGATTTAATATCAATGCTATTAGTTTGTAATAGCAGTGCCTGAGGGATGCCTCTTGTAAATATGTAAATCTTATAAAAAAATATATATGATTTTCAATTTTTTTTGCCGCTACAAATTTGTCGTTGCCAAAAAGTAAAGCTTTCTCGACAAACAACTTGTCGGTAAATGTGTAGCCAAAAGTTTATTTTTGTCCACTCATATTGTGTTGTTAAAAGTGTATTTTTTGCCAATGCCAATTTGTCGTTGCCAAAACTAAAGCTTTATCGACAACCAAATCGTTGGCAAATGGTAACATTTACCGACGTAAATGTGTCGCTAAAAGTTACTTTTGCCCAATCATATTGTGTTGGTAGAAGTGTATTTTTTCCCAATGTCAATTTGTTGTTGCCAAAAGTAAAGCTTTAGCGACAAACAAATCGTCGGCAAATGTCAACATTTACCGATGTAAATGTGTCGCAAAAAGTTTACTTTTGCCGACGCATATGTTGTTGGTAAAAGTATATTTTTGGCCCATGCAAATTTGTGTCGCGAAAAGTGCCACACAATCATCATATTTGAATGACTTTTATCAACGCAAGGTAAATTGCCAACGATAGATAAAGGCTTTTATCGACGACTATGTTCGTCGCTAAAGGCATTACTTTTACCAATGCAATGATAATATCGTCGGCAAAAATTTTTGCCAACTCACTTTTGCCTACGGGTTGCCAACGTAGCTTTGTGTGTCGGCAAAACTCTTTGCCAACGAATTTTTCCTTTTAGCAACATATTTTGTTGCGTTGCGAAAAATGCAATTTCTTGTAGTGTCTAGAATTGCACTTTCTCTCTCTAAAATGAATCTCCAGAATTTTGCACTCAAAGAATGAGGAAAATGAACTCAAGAATGAGCTAAAAGGTCACATATATAGTCATGATGCCATAACACACTAATTAGTACATAAGACTTGCTAAACACAACTTAATGAATCGTTCAGAATCAATTTTTAATAAAATCTACTACATGGTTCTAAAAATTCCGAATAACATGTTCATGTAACTAATTTCGATTTCGGATGCCGATAAGGCTTTTAATTTTCATATTAAAGCGAAATTCCAGACAGATATTTCTACAAGTAACAGATAGAAAGCCAAAATCATGCAAAATACAGAATAAACACATAATTTATTTTAATCCTCTCATTAGCATCATTAATTACGGATTAGTAGCCAATTAC